AAGGAGGTCCATTGTAAAGTAGTTGGCACTACATGTAATGGTGGTCATTACAGAAGGTTCTATTACACAAAGGTTGTGCATATAAATCTGTAATTGGCAAGATAGCACCAACAACCCCTAAGGCGGCATTAGGATCTTGTTTGGAAGAATGACTAGGCAGTAACCAGAATTAAAAAGTGGTGATAAATGTGGTGAATACAAAGAGACCTGTGATAAAGAATTGGCCTTATCAGATTTGAAATACCTCTAGCATATACGAAACTTACTGACTAATAAGAAGTTGAAACATGGAAGTGTGTGTATGTTGATAAATCTAACAGGCTCTAGTTATACCAGTGTCGTACCCATATGGGAGTTTTTGAACATTAAGAGAACTCAGAACTACTAATACAGGTATAGCTAGTATAAGTAAATGCAGCGGTAACCGGAAGCTACAACTGCTGAGAATCACTATAAATAGAAACAATGATGTACCTGTTAAGAACCCCTAGGCCTCATGATCCCATCCAATTATATCAAGTACTAGAAGCATTTGCAAAACATACCTAGGCAAGCCTCGTCACTATATTAGGAAGTATAGTCATTTGTACATCACCGAATTCGAAACGTTAAGACCTTGGTCTCAAAGTTACAGAAAACTAGCTAGTTATAACAGCAGGCTTGAGATACTTATCTAATTGGGTAGAGGCAACTGTATAGCTTGAGATATGAACTTCTAGAAATATACTAGTTGGGACTAGGCACACCAAACTGAGAGCAATAAGCACCCATCTAGTATACACCAATTTGAGAGTTAAGATATTAAGTATGTAGATAAAGTGGTGGACATGTGAATACTAATTGGCAGTTGGGGAGAGATGTATAAAATCCAGATCAATCACATGTGTGAGAGTGTTGATGGCTCTGGTGGGGTTTAGCTATAGATAAATAGTTTTAAATCTAAAGTCCTAGTTCTAGTTCTAATATATATGTATTTCGGCACCACTATATGTTAATTGTTTAAGTATTAATAAAAGTCTAGAGCAGGTACTACACCCTAATATAAAAAAAAAAAAAAAAAAAGCAATATTGAAAATGATTTAAATAAGAGTAGTAATAAACTTTATAATGAATTAACAACTCTGATGACAAAAGTATTAAATCTTCTTGAGAAGCAAAAGGTAGCTAGCAATTTTTGGTGGATTAGAAATATAAAAAAAAATTTTAGCCCAATTAATAGAATGATAGAGAAAATAGAACAATATAAAGGTAAAAGAACTTTACTTTTAATTTGGAAAGAACATACTAATAATATACTCTTTTTACAATAATTCTGGATATAAATACTTTACAAATTTAAATTATTTTCTTAGTAAAATAAAATAAAATAAAAATTTAAAGCTATAAAAACTTTAATAAAACTTATCATTTGTCTTAATTTATTCATATTGGCAAGTGATTTTTTATATTTTTATATTAAATAAGCTTCTTCTTAATATTTTAGTATAAATTTTGCTATTTGGTTTAATATCAAACAATATGTAATTGAGACACATTCTAATAAAATTTTGAAAGAAAAATTTAAATATATTTACTATTTGAAAGGGTTTTTATATATATTATTTTTTTAAATACAAATTAAAAGCTGGATTACTAAGTAGTTTTCTCTCAAAAGTAAGTTTTTTTTTATTGTATATTAGAAAAATTTTGTATATTATAAATAAAATCTGTGATAGCCAAAGAAAATTTTAATTGGCAAATTTTTTATGTAATCAAAAAAAATTTGTAGCAATAATAGAAAAAATATTTTTATATTAGTTAAAATTAGAGTTAGGGTTAGATAGTGTTAAAGTATAAAAGAAGTAGGTTGCAATATATATATATTACAACCTACTTACATTAGATTATTATCTACTTAAGATACTGTAACCTAGTTATGATTATGCTGTAACCTAGTTATGATTATAGTGATACCTATTTACTGTTTCCGGTACTCTGTAGTCTTTTTTTAACTAAGCTTATAACTATTTGTTTTTATTGCTTTGTATCTTTTTTATTACCTTGTAGCTATCTGTCAAAATAGTAAAAAATATCACGTCGGGTGGCGCAGTAGACCTACGTTTAATTTCGGTCAACACTATAATATAATTTTGGCTGATCTTTAGAACACATGGTTTGAGGATTCAAGTCAGCACCATAGTAGTGGACCGATAGTGTCTAGAACTATCGTGGCACTAGCAGGGAACTGAAAAAGTTCTATTAGTTCACCAGTTCTGAATTACTTTTATGCCGGTTTGGGTACCAAGTTATTGTATTCAAAGTTCTGGCCGAAATTATATAATAGTGCTAACCATAATTAACCGAATTTACTGCGTCTTGGGTTCTGGATACTTCCCTGTCACCAAGAGCGAGACCAAAGGTATTATGCTTATGATGTTTTCAAGGTATATTGGTGGGATGTTTTAAGCTCTTCTGAGGCCCGATTATAGTTTAAATACACTTGTGCTGGTTAAGGCAATGAGTATGTGAAACTTTAGTAACCTAGTTTTGCATGTTTTTAGTCTGTTCGATTGCCAAGAATGAGATATGAAGTGCCGAATTAGTTCTGGCTATACAGTTTTCATATCTTTTTTCTCATATTTTCCTGAGTCTTTCTATCTTCCTAAGCCTTTTCTTGCCTATTGCTGGTACTACGCCAAAGCAAAAATTTCTTATCTCTTTCCTATATATTATTCTACCTTGACATAATATCAGATCTATGCTATATTTTAGGTTTCTAGAACCCTTTCTCACATAGTTGCGGTTGAGGCAATAAGTATGCTAATTTTTTGAGTGTCACAAGTGGCACAAGTTAGTATATGGGCCTTTGCAGTAGAAAGGGCCAAAACTTAAATTGATCAATTTTTTTTTTAATTTTTAAACAAAAAAATCTTAACAAATATTTAACAATATTTAATAAAATTTTTTTTATTTGAATTCTACAAATTAATAACATTTAAATAAAAAAATTTTTATTAAATTTTATTAAATATTTGTTAAGATATTTTAATTCAAAGTTTCAAAAAAATTTTCATATAAAATAGTTTCGGCCCTTTCTACTGCAAAGGCCCCGTATGAACCTGTAACAGAACCTGTGACAGGTTTGTTATCTTTTTTGAGATTATTAGGCCATCTTATTTCTTTCTTGATTAGTGTCACAAGTGTCACAAGTAAAAGAGTAATAAATTCTAGAGAAAAAATTAATTTTTTTCTATGGTACCCTTTGGGATATATATGTAGTATGCTATAAAAAATAAAAAAAAGTTAGAAACTTTGAGCCGATTTCTCCTGTGACACCCATTGAGAAAGCTTTCTTTTGGCCTAGGATTCTTAAAGAGCCTATTGTTTGCGTCACAAGTTCGAATTCTAACTTGTGATACTTGTAACAACAAAAAATCTGGTTTATTTTACATCCTAATATATCTGAAACTATTTGAATGGGGTTCACTATGTGAACCTATTAGCTAGCTTAGCTAGCTTTTTCCGTTGGTAGTGTTCCTTCGCTCTATGATTTTTTGCATGATTATCGCAAAAATCATATATAGAATTAGTCAATTTACTGCACCCAGGTTGTTTGCAAAGAACTTGTCTAAAATTCTGATGGATTTTATATTTCTTTGGATGATAGCATCCCCAATTACATACTTCTCCAGTTCTAAGGATATATGGACAATTATAAAATGCCATTTGCGTATATTGATTAATAATCTTGAGGAATTAATTTTATTTTAAACTTTTTTCTTACAAATAATATACCTTGAGATTTGGTATAACTATAAATTACCTTAAATTGCTTGATAAAAAATGACCCAATCCAAGCTTTTAGAGAATTTGGACGGCCCCACCCCATACTATTGTGGGTTAAGAGCTTCCGATGTAGGTCAATGCCTATATAAAATTCGTGATGATAGTATTAGACCAAGACAATTCCTTGGAGCTGATAATGAGGATGGAATAGAAGCTATACTTTTAGACCATGAAGGCCATTTGTTGCATGAATTTATTGATGGTGATGAGCCACTTCATCCTATTATAGATTTTCGATTTGCCAATAGAAACACTAAATACTATTACTCCTAAGGTTTCGCATAAAGAAGCCTGTAAAGCTATTCAAATAGCTTTTAGGGATGTTTGTCTAGAAATATATCTGGAGTGGGATAAAAAAAGTATAATCATTACTACTAGTAGTGATGCGAAAAAAATATCTCTCCACATTTCTACTTCTGGTATGAGGCTAAAAAATATCGCTCAGGTTGCCACGTTCACTAAACTTGTTCGTAAGAAACTTCCAGTGGGATTGCAAAGAAAAGGTATAATTGATAATATCGCAAATAAGCGATCTTTTTCTCTGAGAATGCTTGGTTCACCTAAATGTAAGGAAGAAACAAAAGAACATGTTCGTGTAAAAAAAGCTGTTCATCCAAAAGATGGAACAATCTTTGACTTCATGATTCGCCCGTCCAATGATGAATTAGAGGTCATAAAAAGCCCTCTCTTAGATGTTTCAGAAAATATAAATGGAAGAAAATGCTCCACCATGAGTAATATTACTACTGAAGCTGAATTCGAGTTGTTAGAGACATTACTTAAAGAGGCCATCATTGAAGGTATAATCTCTCATTTCTATCAGAAAATTTCCCTGATAAATTTTCATTATCACGCATTTCTCCATCATATTGTCCATTATGTGATCGGGAACACACAAGTGATAATGTATATATCATACGAAATAAAAAATCTTATAGCTTTTTCTGTTATTGTGCAAATCAAGAAAAACAGCCTGGCATGAAAAACCCTTCATTAAAGCTTACTATTAACGAAACAGCTTTAGATAGAGAAAAAAGCTTCCAAGTTTTGCAAAACTAGATCGATCCAGAATTTCAGATCCCAATAATCACTTTGTATAGGGCAACTTATTGCGAATGTGTACTTCAGGTAAAAAATTCTCTCATATAGATGTCTACGGAGTGATTCAAGCAACGATCGCCTGTGTTCAAAAGAAAACAAAAACATGGATTCTTAAACATAGAAATCCAAATGGTGGACTTATGTTTGATATGGAGTCTAAACTATATATTGCAAACTTTATAATTAATATAATAGAACTTGGGGGTGAGGCGGTAAAATTAACATCTTTAATCAATCATGCTCTTACTAGTGGTGTAATACATTATAATGATGTTAATTTTCTACCATACCCTCCAAACATTAATCCACCTCAAACTAAATTCTTTAATCTTTTCTTAGGATTCAAGGCCAAGCCGGCACCCATATTAATTATGATTTTGTAAAACTCATCGTCTGGCATATAGAAAATATCTGGTGCAATGGAGATAAAAATCTTTCCGAATATATTCTAAAATGGCTTGCATTCCTAGTTCAGTATCCAAGTACAATTCCTGAGACAATTCTTGTTTTACGCTCCCCACCACGATGTGAAAAGAATATTATCACCGATTTTATTTGAAAAAGCTTATTCGGGCCAGACCTTGTATTTTCGACCTCTGATCTTGGAAAGATTCTTGGACGATTTAATAGCCCTATCCAAGCACGAAAACTTATTATTATGAATGAAGCGGGGATGGCTAGTGGTGAGTGGCATAAGGCGAATGATCATTTAAAAGCCCTTATTACAGAAAACTATATCTTGATTGAGTGTAAAGGCCTTGAATCTTAAGATTGTAATCACTATGCTAGATTTATGATTTTAAATAATCATGATGCTCCAATTCAAGTGGAAATGGGAGATGGACGTATTGTATATTTAGATGTCTCCCCTCGCTATAAAAGTAATTTCACATATTTTGATCAGTTAGGAGGAATTCTTGAGCACCCTGACACACCAGGATCATTTATAGCATATTTGCTTAATCTTAATCTTTCAGAATGGAAGTCACGTAAAATTTTCTTTAACCAAAATGAAAACAGAAATAATGCGAGACCAGCTTCCTAATCCTGTTCGATTTATAATTGACTATATTGCGTCTTGGGGTGAGGATAAAGTAGCCAGCCCAAGTCATACATCATTATATCAAAAGTATCTTGAATGGTGTGGGAATAATGGTAAAAAGCCATTTTCTAATAATATTACTGGAAAGAAATTTTCAGATATTGGTATTGAGGGCAAACAAGTACGAGCAAGTAGTAAAAAAAGGGAACAGGTATATATTCTTGACCGCCCCAAAATCGTAGCTAAAATATATGAAACAGTAGGTGATATCGAAGAATTCTCTGACATACCTCAATCTGACATACCCGAAAATGAGACAACAGATATACCAATATTTAATGTACCGGAAAACGCTTCTTCAAAAACAGCTCTGTCTCGACCAGAAAAGATTCTTTCATCTAGTGATAAGAAAGTAGATAAACAGGACAACGTAACCCAAGCTCTATTTAACTATCTGGTAGAAGAAACCAAAGCACCAGTTGCTTCAACATCTGGGACTTCCAAAACTTCTAAGATGTCTAACCTATCTGAGCCAGAAATCAATGAGCGGTCTCAAAAGGGCTGGCTCGAAACTAGCAAGCTTCCTAAATCTATCGAGCCTATCAGTAAGGTGATAAATGCGCCTTCTAAAGAAACTGATTCTTCCAACCCTATCAATAAAGTACCATCTGCTATACTTCTGAGCAGGGCCCAGCGCAAAGAGCGCCTCAGAAAAAGGGCAATTGAACTTGGTGAGGATCCCGATATATTTGTAACTATTACAGAAAAGGACAGGCTCGACTCTATTGCATTCCGGGATAGAATGGAAACTGATGCTCGGATGTGCGGTTATGCAAAAGAGGGGGAAGAAAACCCTAAAAAATATATGGACATGTCAGTGTGGGAAAGATTGATAGGAGAAGAAATAATCTGTTGTGACCTTGAAGATAAGGGGACCACATCCTCCTGGCTCGATACTGATGAGGAGTGGCAAAAAAATATAAGCATACTCCAGAAAAATGGTATGCTTTGGTAAGAAGCCAGTTTACAAATGAGGTATTTGGATAAGAGGGTTCTTTACAATTAGGCAAAATAAAATCCCAAATTATTAATTATTTTTTTCGAATTGAAAAATAAGTAGATTAGTATAACTAGGTAATAATTGCAATCTACTTATCGTTGACATGTCTACTAAAGCAACCATTTCAAAGACCCGAAAGCCCAAAACAAATAACTTTGTATTGGTTTTAGAGCAGTTCCTAGAAAAGCATAATTTGACGGCCGACTCCACTTCAGAACAATTAAGAGAACATGCTCCAGAACTTAATGTTTAATTGCATGATTGGAAGGCCCACAAGTGTGTTAAAGATCTACTTGCCAGACGTACTAATAAAAGACGCGCATTTAGCAAAGAGCAGATAGAGGCTCTCGTATTAGATAAGAGAAAAGAAAAACTCACCATAGAGGAAAGAGCAAAATATTGTGCTAAGACTGGTGATAAGTAGGACATTTTCATTCATTCTCATGACATAGGTCCAAAAAGTAATGATAATAAAGAAATTGTCGCCGGTTGTTCACGGCTCTCACTATTTCGTAATGAATTGCTAAAAATTGGTATTGCTCATGAACTAATTGATACTTATGCCAAAGACTCGAATGTTACTACAGCTTCTAACAAAATTTAGAAAGAACGGACTGAGCGAGATATAGCCAATAATCAGTTAAAAATTCTACTGTATTTCTCCTTAGAAAAGGGACTTAAAAGGATTCAGAATATCGATACTACTAAAGATCCCTCATTACAGGATTTTGCAGATATAATGATGATGTTGTGTATGAGGCCGGCTGAAGTATCTAGCCTCCAGATCAATCACTATGAAGTTGACCCTTCCAGTCCTCCAGCATGGCACAAAAATAGTTATTCTTGGTATTGTACTAGATATGCTAAGAATAAAGGAGAAAATAAGGATAATCCAGAGCCTCACCCATTTCTTGCCATGGAGAAGAATCCAGAACATGCAAGAACATTATTCATCTGGATTCAAGAAGCTATAAAGGCTAGAAAGTTGGGTGACCCCACCTTTAGTGAAAATGGAAAGTGGAACACTAGAGCATTTAGCAAATTCCTGAAGCCTTATAAAATTACGCCTAAAATATTAAGAAAAATAGGAGGTAAGCATGCCTGCAGAGCCCATGGTGGACCAAACCCAACTCATCAGCATCTTGATCTTCTTAACAGAATAGCATTGAGACATAAGATTGTCCGTCTAGATGCAGGAAAGAATTACACTATAGGTGATACAGAATCAGAGAAGTCTGACTCCGAACCAGAGACAAGCGACAGTTCAAAACCTCAAATACAGGCTTCTTCGTCATCTCAAACAATAAAAATAGATTCAATGTTAGCTGAAATTGATGCAATGTTAGCTGAAATTCAGAAATAAATACCAGAAAAAGGGTCAGGTAGTGAGCACTTGTTTAGAGAATTTTCACTGGGCCCTCATGAATATAAGACTTAAATTGTCCACCGTTTTCCTAATTCTATTCTGAGATCACAATTGAGATATATATTTTTATATTAATATTTTTTTTCTTATAAATTGGCAGTGTCGAAGTAAAATAAAAATCCTGCCTTCTCGTGATTAAATCACTCGAAGCCAGATATATCGGTAGTCCAGATATATCGGTAACCCAGATAAATCTTTTTTCGAGCTTGCAAAGCCTTAGTCAATAAAATCCACGTGTTAAACATGTCTAATATTCAAGAATGGAAAAAAAATAGTTATGCCTGATACATGTTGACCAAATATGGTTTAAACTATATCAATAATCTAAAAACACCAGAAGCTTGGTTACAATTTCGCATTGTTTATTAAATCAAACCCGAGTTCATCATATTCAAAAAGATTTAAACCTTTTACAGGATGAGCTAGAGCATCCAATAATGCGTTGTGTTCTAATACTCCAAATGAATTAGATCTAGAAAATGCGACAATTAATCCATTTTTTGATTGCTCAGATAAATTAGGAAGGCGTATAGTAAATAGCTTAAGAAGAATAAAACATTGACGAGCTTCCTGGTCTCGATAAAGCTTTTTCAAAGTATCTTCACCAAAACATCTTTCATAATCTCATCCGGTAAATTTTTTTCTAGGGTCCCAGTCCCAATAATTGTCCTGATCATCATCACTATCTTTATCATTACTATCTTCTTCGTCGATGTCAGATTCGCTATTGTCATCATTATCCATGTTGACAGGTATGACTTCATTATCTAATAATCCCAAAGCCTTCAAGAATTTGTGTACCCAATCTTATTATCAGTACTAATGTCAGAATAAGTTTGTTTCATAATGATAATATACCAAAATACCTTATTCCCCGCCTTCTCGTAATAAAATCACTCAAAGCCAGATATAGAAAGTTATCAGTACTAGATAACAGTCTTTTAAGTTTAAATATATTTTTTTTCTCGCAAGCTTGAAAAAAGGGTTATTTAGCTTTTCTTGTCCCACAGATGAGTTATGTGATTTAACTGCGTCCTGTGTTATGTAGTGGGTATTTTTGCAAATTTATGAGGAATAGATCAATGAATAATTAATCCGCCAACTAATTTCTGGAATGTTCTGGTATAGTACCTGTATTACAAATCTTTAAATTAGTATTATGCAAGTCAATCCGATGACTCTGATGTTAGAATAGGATGAGAATAGAAATTACGCCAGTGATTTACAGATCTGTTTTTACGATATATAACGGGCACTATTAGCATCATCCATTCTACATAATAAAATTCCATTATGGGTCATTGGTAGATTTGTATAGGGTACGAATAGGTGATTAAAATAACATATAATTATGCAAAAAAACGTATGCAATCCCCATACTAATTATTTCGTGAATGAACAGATCATCAAGCCCGAAATTAGTTTTTTTAAATCTACAAATTAGATTTGTTAGTCGTGATGAATAAACTATATAAATAAGCTAAGTATAAGGAATTTTGTTATATAAAACTTATCTGTACTTGCTTTGCCAATATCATCATGTCCCTATACATGCCGCACAAACGTTTGGGATTTGGGATTTTTCCATGGACAAACCCGGACAAATGGGATTTTCCAATTATA